TTTTTTTGTTTTGTTTTATATGGTCAGTTCCAATTGCAGTGATTAAAGACAAGGCCAGGCACCAGCAGTTACTTCTTCACGATCTGAATGACATCTTCATGCTCCATCATATGGGTTAAGCCCACTCTTTGAGGGCTGTACTTTGTGCTTGTCCCCTTTAAAACAAAAAATGGRGAGAAGGGTTAGAAAACCAGCCAGAGACACCTGGAGACAGGGATTCCAGTAGCTAACACTTACCCACACCAAGGCATATTTGAACTGGCTGGCTAATGATCTGTGAATCCGATGGCACTGCAAGACAGACAGGCAGAAGTTGAAGTGTTTAAAYGACAGCACTTTGCAAACAACTTTTTCAATACCCAGGAATTAAAAGAAACTCAAGTCAGTGCCAGAAATTACAATAAAGGAGCCAGTTAACAGCACTTGAAACAATACAGAAYAGACACAAGAATCACCAGCCCACATAAAGCCCCATTCCATTGGTTCCATGTTTTTTTTCTCTGGTTGCATTAAATAATTATTGTTTAAACCTTTTACAGCAGCTGTGAACAAAACCTGAGGCAGAAAAAATCGGTAAAGGCAACAAAAGGAGAAGCCCCACTAACCACTGACATGTCCTGGGCTTTACAAAGCACAAATCACAACAGGTCCAAGAGGAACTGCCCTCTGCACACAGGGAAATGTAAAAAATGCACAAAAATTACCACATGTTCCACAGAGGCCCCTTTCCGTAGAATAATGGCATCTGTAAAGTCTGGTCTCTCTGTGGAGAAGCAGAAGGGGGGAAAGCATTGGATTTCTATCAAGTGTGTTCTAAAATGCTGACACCATCTCCCATCGCCTTTGYGCTTACTACTCCCAAATTCCTCCTTCCTGCTCCCAGACAGAACAGGGATCCAGTACCTGAAAGCATCAAATCAGCTCTCCACTACCCACAAGTGCAATTATCCACTCCACACAGTCAGCAGCTTCCTCACAACCCACCTGACCCAACTCCTTTCCAAATCCTTGATTTATGAGACAAAACCACCCAAGTCAAAACACACCTGCTCAAGGAAAACCAAAATCCCCACAATTTCACAGCTTAACAAGCTCAGAGAAAATTCCTTGATCTCCTCAYATCTACCCAAGTTCAGCTACTCACAACCAAACAGAGCAAGTTACAGTTGTGCCTTCATCACTGGGAGAAGCTGCAAGTGCATTAGCAAAAGGAGGATAAAAGGCACTTCCAAGGGCATGGGAATCATCAAATTACTTGCAGTAGAAACAGAAAACTTCTTCTGGGTTGTGACGGGGTGAACAGTTCATAACAGTGTGCATAACAAGGAAAAAAGCTGTGAACTTGCACACTTTATTCCCTTACATCATGCAAAGACTTATGAAAATTCAGCTCTTGTAAAATACAACAGGAAGGCCATGATGGGATCCACACATGGCAGGATCAGACAGAACAGGAAGCCTTTCCCAAGAGCTGAAAGATTATTTGGGAGGGTGCAATTCCAGCGTTTCTGTCCTGCTGGCAGCCTGTCTGCCCTCCATGAGCAGCAGCATTTGTGCCTTTCAAACCTGCTGYTCATTTTGTGGTCACTTACGTCCTCGTTTCTTGGTGTAGATGCAGGTAAGTGCCAGGTATTCCCAGAGCTTTTCCAGCAAGTAGTCCAGGTTCAGCTTCATGCCACAGCTGCAAAATACCAGGGATATCTGTTCACTGCTGCTGTGATTTAGGCATCCAGAAGAACAAGGTCAAATGTATTTAATTAAGTGCTGRAGAATGAGGGGAAAGTATTTAATGAGGCCAAGAAAAGAAAACCACAAGGTGAAATGARCTTAAACTGAMGGAGGGCAGSGTTAGATTAGATATTAGGAAGRAATTCCTTACTATAAGRGTGGAGAAACACTGRAACAAGATGCATARAGAATCTGTGGCTGCTCCATCCCTGGAATTGCACAGGGCCAGGTTGTACTGGGCTTGGAGCAACCCTGTCTAGTGGAAGGTGTCCCTGCCCACAGCAGGGGGTGGCATGGGATGAGCTTTAGGGTCCCTTCCAACCCAAACCATTCCATCATTCCAGAAGGWTGAGCAGCTTTGAAGCAGCAAAGCCCCAACAGACACATCAGCACTTCTAAGGAAACAAGCCAGRCTGCTTGACTCTGACCTRCAGACRGCATGGAGAAGCCAAGCTGCCTCTCCAGGGAATGAAAATCTGTGAAAAGCTGCACAGCAGCTCAGCTTTTCAGCCCTGGGAGAAGCCCCTTCTTGGGAGAAGCTGGAGGAAGGGGTGTGAAATGAACCCCACAGCAGGCAGACCAGCAGAAAAGGCACCATGACAGCTCCTACCTGATGACAACACTGTGGGGCCTCCGAGCAAGGCGATCCACCTCCTCCATGGATATCTGGTCAATCTTGTTATAAACCTAAATCAAAGAGAAAACAACACAGCCCTCAGAAAGGCAACATGTACAAACTACAAGGTAGCTCCAGCACCTGAAAGAGAAATGCAGATCYTGTCAGAGGATAAGCCAAGACTCTCAGTAAAACAAACTATTAAAATTCACAAGCCTGAATATAAATTTTGGCCTTTYAAAATTCTCCCTTTGGGATGACTTGGAACACGTTCTCTGGTGTCTTTAATTTAATACAGGCCCAGTGGCTACAAACAGAGCCCTAAAGGGACCTCTGGCACACMAGGGAGCAGCACTGAAAAGCCAAGCACGGAGCTGGCAGCAGGGGAATCAGAGGCTCCACACGTGGGAGCAAACCCCGGCATGAGGATTGCAAACTCTGCTGCTCCAGGGCAGCAGCAGCCACAAGAGGGCCCAGGGAACACACAGAGCACGGCTGCACATCCAAAGCCTATAAAAAACTCCCTGTTGAGCTGTTTTCCACCTCTTAAACCCCAAATCATTACTGTTTTAGGAGCCACGAGCAAGGGCATGGAGTAATAGGACAAGGGGGAATGCCTTTAAATTGAGAGGGCAGGGTTAGAGGGGATATTGGGAATTCTTCCCCATTAAGGTGGGGAGGCCCTGGCACAGGTTGCCCAGAGAAGACGTGGCTGCCCCTGAATCCCTGGAAGTGTCCAAGATCAGGCTGGGTGGGGCTTGGAGCAGCCTGGGACAGTGGAAGGTGTCCCTGCCCAGGGAAGGAGGTGGCACTGGATGAACTTTAAGGTCCCTTCCAACCCAAACCAATCCATGATTCAATGAAGTTCCAATGTTTCCTGTGGCACAGGAGACACTAGGCTGTCCAGGATACTCACATAGAGGCACGGCATGTAGACCCTGTTTCCTACAATCACATCAATGAACTCATCAGGGGAGCAATCCTCTCTGAACAGCACCTCGGCGTTGAAGATTTCTGAGAYGGATGCTGTCAAGGCCCAAATCCCAACACACCACATGGGCTGAGCTCCCTTGTGACAGCCTGTTGCCACCCAGCCAGCACCAAAGTGACACCAAGGCTGTCCCACAGCAGGAACCTCTTGAACCACGAGCTGCTGATGGCTCAAGGGCCCATCTGCTGTTTTAGGAAAGGATACTGTATTCATGGAGGATGAGCTGCACCAGCTTCTCAGAGCACTGAGTCAATGTGACAGTGGAGTTGAAGGAGATGCCTCCACCCTTCTTGGGCTGCAGGAGGCAAAAAAAACAGCATAAGAACATTCTCCAAATCCTCAGCCCCCTCAGCCTGTCCAACAGAAGGGGCAGCACTCAGCGCACTCAGGTTTGAACAGGCAGGCAGACACAAGCTGTGCCTGCAGGAGCTCAGGAAGCCTCACCTTGAAGTAAATATTTGGTTTGCTTTTGTTCAGCCGGATTCCTACAGATTCCAGTTCTTTCTCCAGCAAGGCCCTGCAGGGACACTCCACGTTAGCAGCTGTGAGGCTGAGCGTGGCCAGGTGACACCCAGACCTTTCCTTTTCAACTCTTGTGTGGATACAGCCCTGCCACAAGCTTTCAGTACAACCCAAAATCCACCCAATGCAGGGCAGAGCTTGTCCAGGCTGACATTCCCATCTCTGAGAGCCATCCTGGAGSAATGACCCTTCAGCTGAGCACCACACCAGTCAGGAGGATGCTTCTCATRGAGTACAACCTCCATCATGCATTCAATTGTTTAATTCCTCATTAACTCCTCAGGGAGCTGGCATGCTCTCTGGGCACGTGGGAAGCCCTGAGCTGGCCCTGTGGCCAGCACACACTCACCTCTGCACCTCRCCCTTGGTGGCATCCAGCATCATGATAACAACATCTGCTGTCCTGGCCACAGCGATCACCTGCCGGCCTCTGCCCTTCCCTGGGGAGACAGGAGTGGGTGCACATCAGCAACAGGGACCAGCTGAGTTCTGTGACAGATGGGGATTCCTGCCCTGTGCAGCAGTTTGAAAGCAAGGATAAAGATCCTGTGGTGCTGTTCTGGCTGCAGTCAGCTGCTGGGAGCCCTGGCAGCAGCTCCAGGCAGCACCAGAGAGGAGATCAGTGCCAGCAGGTGCCTTAGGAAACACAGGCACTGTTCTGGGGAGTAGTGACAGCACCCAAGAGAATGGCTGGAGCTGTGTCAGGGGAAGTTTTGGTTTGAAATTATGAAAAGGCTCTTCCCTCAGAGGGTGTTGGGGCACTGACCAGGCTCTCCAGGGAATGGGCATGGCCCCAAGGCTGCCAGAGCCCCAGAAACAGTGCTCTCAGACACAGGGTGGGATTGTTGGGGTGTTCTGTGCAAGGCCAGGAGTTGGATAGGATGATCCCTGTGGGTCCCTTCCCAAATGTTCCATGACTCTGTGATTTCCTAAGCTATCTTCAGACACAACCAGCCAATGAGGACAATGACAACACAGAGAGACAAAGCCAAAATCTCATCCCACAATCTGGAGTCATGGGAGGACTGACAGGAACGCAGGGAATTACCCAAACAAGGTTAGTAATTAGCTCTAATTCCCCTTCTGCCTCTCCAGCATCTTTGTCTAGATTTCCTCAGCACCAGAAAACAGAYGAGCCACTTAACACTCAGGCAAGGAGTGAGCAGTGACTGGCTTGCTTTGGCTCCCACCTACAGAAAACCATCCTTGTGCTACATATAGACCCTGACGTGGGCTCAGGGATAGGAATCGTGCCTCACATGGGATCAAAGACTCAAGAATTTGAAAAGACAATGTAGGAAATCTTGGCCCAGGAAACTTGTGAGTATCTGAGATACCCAGGGACACTACTGAGGGCAGATCCCTCCTTTACATGAACACAGACATGAGCCAACCTTGTGCTGCTCCTTCGATGATTCCWGGCAGATCCAGCAGCTGAATATTGGCTCCTTTGTACTGAAAAGGAAATGAGAGGATGGAAAGTTGAAAGCTTTTTGCAGGGCACCTGAGCTGCCTCAAAAGCTCCAAGCACATGCTGGGGGTCCAAATGCTGTGGAGGGTGGACCTGGATGGAGCTGGTGGGGCAGTGGAACTCTGCACAAAGCTGATGGCTCTGTCCTGAGGCGAATTCCAGAGCTATGGGCTGTGTTCAGCAGCACACACAGCTGTACATTAGATCTTGACCCCCTAAAGCACCCTACAACTGCAGCTGGGCAAAGCACCAGGAAAACAGCACAGCAGTCACACATTCCCAAGCTGGGGACATGGAAAGGATAAACAACCTTCCTGTCTTGGTCTAATGAGAAAACTCAGTAAGGAACAAGTGCCACATATCTTACTGTGACAGATCAAACAATTCAGGTGCTGCAGGTCTTACAGTACCAGGAAAAACAAACAGGAGACTCTCATTCCTAGGATTTGCTGGGCATTGGCTCTCCAGATGTTCCTACAGCTCACAGCTGTGCTTGTATGTGTTGCATTAAAGTGCTTTTCCCACCAATACAGTWACTTTCATTATTTAGCTCCCCTTTCCATCTTGACCCACATTTCCTCATTATTCTTGGACACTTTTCAGTTTGATGCCCTTTTTCATTTGCTTTACTCATGGATGCTGAGGCCACCACWAATAAAACCCCTCAAGGACAGGAGTAGCTGCATTTTGTTTTGAAAGTGATCACAACACAGATTGCCTCTGTAAAGCTTCATTAAAAACAAATCTGTCAAGGTTTGCAGCCAGCTGGTCACTGGCACCGAGAGCAGTTATACAAAATTCAGTGGAGAATTGTTGTATTGCTCTGGTCAGTCCAAAAGCAGCACAAAAATCCTTATCAGGCAGCCAAAATCCTAAAGAGTTATGTAGTTTAGGATAGTGTTACATCAGCACACAAGAGCTCCACGAGTTTATAGCAAAATTCAGCTTTGGAGACTTTTCAATGTCTCTRTTAGTGGCAGCACAAGCGTGGCTGGTGCCAAAACAGACACAGCTGGGTGTCCCACCATTTCCAGGACAGAGGGAGGAGAATCCAACATACTTCTATGACTCCTGGGATACAGGTCAGCGTGGTGAACTCGTACGACGCGGCTTCGCTGGCAGTCGAGGTCATTAAACTCAAAAACGTGGACTGAAATGCAAGAGATCAGCATCACCAGGCAGGAAAACRAAAAGGCTCAGCAAAACAAGCAACATCAAAGTGCTCCTCAGGCTGTGGGAGTTGTGTTGTGCTGTTCCAGGCACAGAGTCTGAGGCAGTGATGCCGTTACAGACCACAGGTAAATCCTGCATGCCCCCCTTTCCTCAGCAGGGCTGTGGCTGAGCAACAACAAATTTCAGGCTCTTCCCACAGGGCAGAGCACAMAAAATGAAGGAGTGTTTCCCCATCTCCAACTTTCAGCTGGATAATAGAATCTCAGAATGGTTTGGATTGGGAGGGACCTTAAAGCCCATCCAGTGCCACCCCTGCCATGGGCAGGGACACCTTCCACTATCCCAGGTTGCTCCAAGCACTGTCCAACCTGGCCTTGGACACTTCCAGGGATGGGGCAGCCACAGCTTCTCTGGGCAGCCTGTGCCAGGGCCTCCCCATTCTGAATTTCTTCTGTAGATTTCACCTAAATTTCCCCTCTTTCAGTGTGAATCCATTCTCCCTTTTCCTGTCACTATAGTCCCTGACAGAGTCTCTCTCCAGCTTCCCTTTAGCCTCTTCATATATTGGAAGGTGCTGTGGGGTCTCCACACAACCTTCTCTTCTCCAGGCTGAACTGCCCAAATTCTCTCAGCCTCTTTCCACAGGGGAGGTGTTCCAGTGGCCTCTTGCTCCAGCAGTTCCACATCTTTCCTATGCTGGAGACACCAGAACTGTGCCCTGTGTTCCAGGCRGGGTCTCACRAGATGAGCTTTAGGGTTCTTCCCAYCCCAAACCATTCCATGGCTCWGTGATCCCAAATCTGCCTTGCAGCCACTGCAAACCCCAGCCTGGAAACACAGCGAGCACAGACACTCACTGACCTTCCCCACAGAAGGAAAACCGATCAGTGCCACCCGGGCATCTCCTGATTTCATCACATCGAAGCCCTCGCCCTTTGCAGCCGGCGATTTGGAGGGTTCCAGCAGCTGAGCTCTGTATTTTGCAAGCTTTGCCTTGAGCAGGCCCAGATGGTACTCGGTGGCTGGAATGACACAAACCCAACACTGGTTGGCAGAAAGTTGCTGGTAATTCACTTCTAGGAATGAGAACCTTCCTAAAAGGAAACACTTATGGGTCTTGGTCAACATCTTAACCACTACCAGGCACAGAGCTGCCCCCAAGTGYTCCATCACTTTTGGAATCCTGGGCATTGAGAGCACAAATTCCAGGAACCTGCACAAAATCAGAGTTGAGGGAAACAGCCGAAAAATTCGAGTTGTAGAAGCAAGGCAGAAGGAGAGCAGATGTAGAAATGAAGGGGTGAAGGGAATCAGTTGAGGAGGGAGAGACCAAAGAGATACAGCTCTCCTGGGAAACAGCTCTTCCTTACACCTGATCACATTCAGCAGTCCAAAACCCCCAGCTTATTTTTCCCTGCTCTTGTCAACTTTTAAAAACATGTTTAACTTGGAKCTTGCATGGGTGAAAAGTACTTTACGGCCTTATTCTTAGCAAAACACTTGAATTTACACCTGAACCAGAAAAAAAAAAGGAAGGTAGTTGTCTCACTTTGTAACAGGGAAAACCAGGATGCATGAAAACAGAAACTTACATGTTTGTCGATGTTAATTTCTGTTATTTACCACAGCYTACAGCCCCCAGCGGCAGCTGCTGCAGAGCCCAAGGGGAGTCCCCAGACCATTCAAACACCAGCTCAGGGACACCCCCATAGCCAACCCTGAGCCCCCTGTACCACCAGAACTTGGGGTGTCCCCTCCTGCCAGCTCCGGGGGGCGGTGCTGCCCTCACCCTGCTTCCCAACCTGCCCAGCCCCCTGTGCCCTCAAAGACCCCCCAGCTTCACAAACACCCCCGATCCTGCCTCCCCCACTGCCCTGACCGCCACCTCTCCCCATGGGCCTCCTCCAGGCTCCCCCAACCCCGAGCCCCCACAGT